TCAACAAGTAGGCATCCTAGGAATGTCCGTTACACTCGTGCTCCCATTGCGTAGGGTGATCTGACCAAGCGTGAGTTTCCTGTCATCCCGCGAACTCCCGTAAATCCGAAGCGATCAATTAGCTTCACCCGATAAGGAACGCCGAAATTTCTTCCCCTCGCCTCGAAACGCATTGACGGGGACCAGCGTCGCGTCGAATCCGTAGACCAGCGGTGGGCTGCCAATTCGAGCAATGAGCCTCGGGGGTGCTCGGAGGTGCCCGAGGAACCGAGCGTACTGACCTGATAGTTTTTCCGCGAGAGTCGGAAAATGAAACTCCGATGTGGGAATACGTATTCCTGTGAATCGCGAGGAAAAATTGCTGAGCGGATCACCAGTACGTAGCAATACCGCTCGACGAAGTCGTTCAGGATGCGAGCGAAGAGAAGTTTCTCTGTTTCTCAAGTTTGCTCCCTCGGTACCGGTCGACTTCGGCCCATAAGGAGGTCAGACCTCGTAACATCTTGTGGATTGAAGCTCTCGATCGCGATGACGGCGGCACTTGTCGGATTGACTAGCCAACAACTTAGTGTCTGACTGCCAGTCTGTCTCCCATCGACCGAATGTGTCAGCTGTCTGTATTTTTGTCTGACTGAGTGGCGGGGCTCGAGTCGTACCGTGATCGGTACCAACGATCAGTCCAGCCCGGAAAGTATGCGTCGCAGTCATGAATCACACGTCATTCCGTGCACGTCAGGAAAATCGATCGAAATTCCACGACGAACGAAAGAGAATTATGCCGCGAGGAAGCTCGCTCGTTCCGCGCCGCCAGAGGTCGGGAGTATCCGGCGCGGCGGCGAGATTTCTCATTCCAGCCGGCCACTCATGTTTTTGCTCATCAATGTTCTCGTCTTCCACCACCCATTTCGTTTTTCGTTAATTCGTCACCGGGTAAATCCAGCGATCGGATGTTGGACTTTATTGACGCGGTCGTCAAATGCACAGCGTGATGCATAACGCTGCATGTCGCCGATTGGGTCGGGAGGCGTCTTCCGAGTCGGTACTTTCTTGTGTTCCTTATGACAGTCGAAGTCTGTGGTTTATGGCCACTAAAACCCTTGAAGCACTTCGGCAAGATCTGAGCCATTCCGTATCCTACCGAATCACGGCCCAGCGATCTCAGCCACCATCTATGCAGAAGTATCTTACAAATCGACAAGATTCAGCCACTCTGATTCAGCTCCTCGCGACGTCAGAAAGCTGTTTTCCTTCGTTCTGTACCCAGAGAAAACATTCTTCTCCGCCGACGAGCTCTGGAAGGGAACTCCAAGCGAGCGGAGAGGCCTTAGGTCATCACACTCTGGATGGATGAAGTCCCGGAGGCAGGCCGCTCGCCGAGGGCGAGGAAAATCGCCGACGCCGGTCGTTTGAGGGAAGTGTCTGACTGAGAACTCTCTGGCCGGGCGTTGTCACAGAAAGCGACGCTGGATGGTGATGATGACGATGGTAACCGCTCACACTCGCACCGGGGTCTGAGGAGAACGGACGCATTCGAGTTCTATTGGTTAAAAACTCTTTCCATCAAGGTCTCAAGGTCATCCACGTAGTCATCATCATCATCGCCATCTCGACCATCAGCATCATCGTGAGCAACAGTTGCTGTCGAGGCAGCCGCATCCTCATCATCGAGAGCTTTTGAGCGCTTTCACCCGCGCGAACTATTTCCGACCTGGCTCATTTGCAGATCTTCTACGGTACACACTCTACATGCAAACATGCAAGGCGAGCGCGTGAGCGAACTTTCTTCTTCATGGAACAAGCTTCTCCGTTTTAGCAGCAACGGCAGAGTTTTGACAGGGGCTATCTATGTATGTACAACGCCTGTCGGGTCGGTGAGGAAGCGGCGATCTGCTTTAAATAGTGTAAAGTATGCACCAGTATGAGGGAAAAGTTCCAGTGGCAGCCGGCGCTACTAGAAGCGGCGGACAAGCGAGCTGGTACTTTTGCTCTATGAAGCGTGCCTGCGCAATCGTTTCCCGAACCGGCGCATACATTCCGCGCATAGTACGTCCATTCCAGACGCGACGTCGACGTATGCTTCGATGACGTCTCAAGAGTGGCCTGGTCGACAAACTTGCCTCTCATGAATCGCCCACCCTGTTGCTCGAAATTTGTTTTTTTACGCCGGCTCGAATTCCAACGCAAATCTCATCATCGCTGCCGCCGCCAGCAGTGTCGTCAACGCTGTCGTACGCGTCGTCACCGACGTCTTCGACGGGATGTCGCTGTTGCCGCTGCTGACTTGATCGTCGTGACTATGGCCGCAGTTTTACTGACGGACTGACTGAGTGAGCATTCAAGACGATCCCGGAATTCCTCCGAAGCATTGTGGAATCACTTCGTGGCCACAAACTCGGACTTATCGCCGCCACTTGTTCGTCGTTCCTTCGCTCAGTGTATTATAGATGATTGGCTTGAGCAAATGCCAATCCAGGTGTCATGACGCCAGACGCGAATGATCACCGGAACTATCGGCTTCAAAGTTTTACCTCAGAGAAAAAACATGCCCCTTGTTCTCAATGAATGTTTTGTTTGGTTTATCGCTGATACTTGGGGATTCGCTCGTAGGATGCCAGCCACTTGGGTACATAAGTGACTTTTTTCCCCGGATACACAGCCTTTCGTTGTGGACGTGTGATCGATGAATGACTTCTTTCACCAAATCCCTGAATAGACGGCTGCTTCTCCCAGGATCGGAAGCCTTCGACGATCTCCATGGGAGCCCCGAATCTCTCCCGCGATTTCCTTCGGTTTTCTGCTCAGAAACTCGGGTTGGGAGGTGTCCGCTTCCGAGGGTCCGGAGAGCAGAACTCGTCTTCGTCAAGCAATTTTTCATTGCATCCATATGGGAAAGATATAAGGGATAAGGAAATGGTAGCGAGGACAGCTCTTAGTATCGAAATAGTATTCGAACCGGAGTTTTCCCACCTCACGATTCCGTTTTCTCCCGGCATACATGTCGTTCGCTTTTTCGATTCGTCGAATCGTCTTGGGTGACAAAGTGTTCCCTCAAGTTGACGAGTTTTCGGAACAATCCCACCTTCCGTGAGTGAGTAAGTGACCGACCGACCGACCAGTCAAGAGGGAATACGACACGCCAGAAGAAACGCGTTGTTATTCGCACATACCTTCAATATTTCGTTTCCGTCAAATCCTGCTCCGACACGGCTCATGTTTCTGAAGCTAAGCTCCTCCTTGATATGTTTTGAGAAGAAGCAGGGAAACGTCATGGATCGGATTAACGATCGCCGACCTGATCCTTGGTGACTATTTCCTCGAGATCCTCGCTTTATTTTCAGTCCGAATCGAATTTTCCCCCGACTGGGTCGCAAGCAGCGCGGTCGCCGGTATCTGAGCTTTGAGCTGCTCGGATTGCCCGGCCAAAAATGGTCTCTGAATCGCCAATGGAGAGACGAGCACTCTATGCTGATGGAAAATTCTTCTCACGATGAGAGTAGCTCGGAGAGAATCGGAAAAGTATTCCTTGGAAGAACGTGCATGCATTCGCTGCTCGGATCACAGTAAGAGCCATACCGGAAGGCGCAGCTGGTGGGAAACCGTGATCGTCTACCTTGAGTCGTCCTTGGCTTAGTTAGAGGTGTCTCGGGTGCGTGGGGCACAGCCAGACTTGTTCTCTGATAAGCTCCCGCGTACATCGGATGTGATTCGTAACGTCTACGTAATCCCGGACTCGTATACGGCACGGCGGCAATCCTTGATCCCTACGAGTGCCCACGAGCGCGTTCCCAGGAAATCGTCCCCTACTCTGTCTTCCTTTGAGACACCGAATGCCATGGGGGCGGGCAGACGAATTACTATTTCGGGGAGACGTGTCGGATGTCGGTGGGTCGAGCACAAGTCAATCAATAACATATGTCTCAATAATAATTCCTCTCGCGCCATTCCGCTCGGCGGCTTAGAGCAGCGTGATGGCCGTCGTCAGTCCCCGAACTCTAGTAAATCCGAGACCGGGCAACCAAGCGAAGTTCCAAGCGGGTCAAGGCGAATGCGAGGCTGCGATTGCCGCTGTCTACTGTCGTAGAAGCTGTAGCTGTAGTTGCCCTCGAAGGGCCGCTCGTGCCGCTGCCGCCGCCACCGCCAAAACCGCTGGTCGAGTTGAAAACCGGAGGAACGGTTCAAGGAAGCAACTCCAGCGGAAAATGATTTCCTCGAGAATCTCTCTTCCTCCAAGTGAATGTCGCGGATGCCAAAGCACATGCAGCCCGAGGAGAAAAACGCGTTGACCGCAACAATGGCAGCGGTGGCAGCTGCGTCCAATGACAGGCTGCGAGGGAGTTTAGAGACTCTCGAAAATTGGAATACTTGGGGGCCGGGACGTGACAGAGCCTACTGTTCTGGATCGTGCGATCTCTGAAACTCTAGGTTCGTAGACCGCGACATGATGAAATCATTGAGACACCACAGGGCTCTGTGGCGAAAAGTTGAGGATTGGAAACGTATGAGTTCCTCCGTTCTTCCCGCCGTCTTTGCAAAACATCAATGAATTTCAATCGAGAAGTGCGCCTGCGGTAATCTCAGGAACGACGCGGACGCGACGCCCTCACGGAAAACACCTTCGCTAATTTCCCCGAGAAATTCGGGAACTTGAATGGCACAAAGTTACTCAAGACGATCGCCGAAAGAAACTAGTCCGATGAAGCGCATTAAGCGAAGGTCCGTTGCACCATCGAGGAACTTCTAGACAGCATTCGAACTTGAGAATATCATTCGGCGTCGATGGAAAGTCAGATGTCAACGGTGTGAAGCATTCAGTGTCAACATCGGTGCTCTCACCCTGTACCGAACAAAAGTCGGCTTCTAGGCGTGACTGCCTCAACGATGAACTATGCCTCAGCCTGGATGTCGAGAATGTCGCTGTCGGGGAGCTACTGGAGGAAAATGCTCAGAAATCTGTCAAGAGCTCCAGGAATACAATTTATTGCCTATCCGGTATCACTCACCTTCCGCTTCACAGACCATGGGGCTCATAAAAGCATATTGCGCAGCTTCTCAAGCCCAACCGAGGACGGAGAAGGCTTCGTGAATTTGTTACCGTTCGACTCCTTTGCTCCGCACTACATGCGTGCATATCTCATGAATCCGTTTGTTTTATGTCTTCTTGCCAATATCCGATCGGTTCCATGCCCCCAAATATCTATCTCTTCAGATACCAGTGGTAATAATGATCGTAAATCTCCTCTCGTTTTGATCACGATGGTGAATTTATGAGAGATTTCTATTAACAAACCGACATGATATCGGCTGACGATGAGTGTCTAAGCGGTGAGCAGAGAGGTTCGTTCCTGAATATGCGATGCGAAAATACCGTGCGAATCGGGGAGAACCAGATCCAATCGGGCTTTCTGACGCCCGTCGCCTACTTCCGCTTAAGAAAAGCGGAGATTTGGCGAATTCTTCCTTGAGCATGCTCCTTCTCCCCATTGTCGCGGATTGCACGTGGAGTCGCGGATCCCATCACGGCCCTCGCGGGCCAGGATGATCACCGAGGTCTCGCCTGAGTTATCTCTTAATGAGCCATCCGAGGAGGTGCGCGTTGGTTTTAGCCTGTCAGTTGACTTCGGATTCGCGATGGTTTCCTCATAGCATCTATGGCCGGCGATTGAGAAACGAGATCCCAGACGCCGAAGACTCTGATGGACATTCTAGCGCGACTGCGAACCCTCGAGAGGCTATTCCGAACTCGACCTGCTCCTCCATTACATTGCTCCCGTCCATCGATAAACGACCCAGTCGGTCCGTCTCGGGGGAGATCATTGCCTGGGTGTATAGTAGCGCAACGTCATTGCTAGTCGCCTGATCCGCGGCGATTCTCGAATTCCATGGCATGAGTTCGACGATGACACCGGAACCCCGAGAGAATTTCGCGCCTCGTTCGGAGGCCCCCGTCGGCGGATATTTTGAACATTTTGCTTCAACTCATTTTTCTTGCTTCAACTTTTCAGACACCGACTTCTCAGCCCCTCGTAGCCCGGAAGATGTTGTCTACTCGTTATCATCTCGGATCTCTCACCAAGAACTCAGCCCGGAAGCGTCCGTCGGGAGCAGCGCCACCTCAAGCTCGTCGAGCTCGATGTTCTTGCCCGAAACATCGGACAGCGATTTCCATACCTGGCCGTCCTCGTCGCGCAGCACTGATTACATCCCGAGCACCGATGACATCAATCAAGCTCTGGCTCAGTTGACCAGTCGAAGCTGGAGTCAAGAGGTCGAAGATGAGCCGATCACCCCGTGCAACGATTCCACGTACAGTTACGTGAGCGCCGTGATCCAACAGCTGCAAACGAACAGCTCCACAGCATCGTCGCCCACGAGCTCGACGTTCACGAGCCCGCGGAGCAGCTCGACAAGGTCGTCTTTCGGAAGAGGTTCCGCTCGTGCCAAACGATCTTTGTCGCAGTCGCCGAGCGATTGCTCCTTGGACATAAACACGATAATCCGGCAATCACCGACGTCTCTGTCAGCCTATCTGAGCAGTTCTCGGAGCTCGCTGGTCTCTGGATCTGGTTCGTACGGGCATCTGTCGGCGAGAAACTCTCTGCAGAATTCCCCAAATTCTGATCAGGGTCCTCGTCGTTTCAGTTTCACAGCGAGCGGCGTAGTCTCTCCCGACCTCGCTCTCCAGGCAATCCAGGAGCTCGAGCAGGCTTCGTACAGAGGGGACGAGCTGGTCGATGCAAACTTAGCTGTGATAGAACAACAGCCGCTACGAGAGAAGCCGCCGTATTTCGATCATCAATTCATTCCTCCGGCTCCACCTCCGACCGTCTCGAACCAGCAATCTCCGTCTCAGATGCCTCCTTTGCGACATTGCTCCAGCATGGAGAGACTCCTCCGCTCTCAGGTGAGAAATTCTCTCCGATGTTCCAAACGTAGAAGTTGACGTAATTTGAGTAGCCGGGCCCGTTGGAACTGAGCTCGCACTCCCCGGACGACTCCACGAGGGTCGTATAGCAGCAAAGTCTGAGCATTGGGCTGAGGCGCTCATCAATATCTAAATGAAGGGAATCCGAGCCGAAAAAACGGGCTTCCGAAATTACGCCGGAACGACACATTCCAATTTCAAAGTTCCATTTCAGATAAGTTTCGACATGGATGACGATGACGACAATTTCGACACGCAGCTGGCGCCTTCCACGGTCGCTCCGGAACCGGCGAGACCTCCTCCGTCCTACGACGAACACTGTCAGATGGCTCAGCAGAGGAGATGGCACCACCACAAAGTGAATTCGACCGACTCGCTGCCTTCGAATTACTCATCGTTCGACTCGTCGGGGAGTGATTTCGCGACAGAGCTTGACGCAACCTCAGGAGGAAGCGATGCTCAGAGGTGAAGAAACGTCTTTTTCTGATCCGTCTCTCGGTTTTTGCTCGAATACCGCGGAACAGCCGCTTAGAGCCTCGGACAGCATTCCAGCCTCTGATCCCTCGGGCTAAACCCCATAAACGTTGCCGAAGCGATGCCCCTTCTCCATATTTCAAGCCGAGAAATCGCTCGTCTAGCATATCCTCGGCAAGGCGTGAGTTTTGTCCTGTACTACGACGCTCTCTCGTGGCCCTGGGACTTCGCTCCGTGAGGAGCCGCCTCCCTCAGTAGGGAAGAGAAGACGGCTAAGGTTCACTCAAAACGCTGATTTAGATTCGCGGAAGGGCCGCCGCATGGCCACTTATGGGGAGAGCTCGCCCCCGAGAGCAGGCGAAATTTCTTTTTCTTTGGATTCGTTTCCGTCGCCAATATCTCTTCGGAGAGAGCTGGGGCTCCGCGAAAGGAGCGAACAGTGATCCGTAGGGTCCGTACGGATCAGAGGATGGTTGGGAACCTCAAGTGGAGTTCCGTGTGAGAACTCTCCCTGCGCAGCTCAGGCGATTCTCTACCAACGATAGTCCTTTCCTCAATATACGATTCTCCAACTCTGCAGATGCTACGACTGTTTGTGGCAGGACTGCGGGAGCCCTTTCGACGATCAGGAAGATTTGGTTCGACACATCGAGAGCATTCATGTGGAGGGTCACCGCGGCGTCGGGGATGATTTCGTCTGCCACTGGGCTGAATGCCCTCGGAGGAAGAAAGCTTTCAACGCCCGCTACAAGCTCCTGATTCATATGCGAATACATTCCGGAGAAAAGCCGAACAAGTGCTCGGTAAGGTCGTTCAATTCCTGCTCTGACCGTTCCCCGCATTCCAGTCCGAATTCCTCATTCAAGTCGTATAACCCGCCGTCTCGTCGATTGCCTCCCGTCTGATTATTGCCGTCACGGGTGAACTTTTGGGACTTGACCTCTTACCATCTGGGTCTTCGAAGTCATAGTTCGACTTCGCCCCGTTCCCTCGAAAAGTCATATCCTTTAACCCTCCCCCCCCCCCCAGTCGGGATTTGGGATGCGTGGGATGACAGGAGGAGGTTGCACATTGACATCCACCATGATTTCCTCTAAGTTTCTTCCTGTCGTGTTTCAGTTCGATGGTTGCAATAAGTCATTTTCACGGTTGGAAAATTTAAAAATTCATCTGCGCTCTCATACGGGCGAAAGACCATACCAGTGCCAGTATCCAGGCTGCAACCGGGCGTTTAGCAACTCGAGCGACAGGGCCAAGCACCAACGGACCCATCAAGAAACTGTGAGTCCAAGAGCTGCTGCGCAGCGCCACCTGGGTAGCTCGACGGGTTCACGACAGGCATGATCTGTGCAGTTTGGCAGCCTGAAACTCATTCTTTGGTCTTCCAAAATAATCCCCTGATCCTCATCCGAATGGTCCGGAAAGAGGGGGGGTGTGAGTGGTTTGCGCTGGATCGACCATCGGGCAATGATTCTAGACACATGCGAGGCTATTCTATCTGAAAAATCTGCAGAGAGGCACTCAAACATCTAATATGAATGCTCACGCCTCCCCAGAAACCCTACGCCTGCACGGTCAAGGATTGTTCGAAGCGCTACACAGATCCAAGCTCTTTGAGGAAACATCTGAAGAGTCATGCAGTGACAGACGGGACTCGCAAAAAAGTTCGTAGCCCAATTCGCATTGCCGTCAGAGTCACGAGTTCATAGGGAGCTCGGCTTCCAATCGTCACACTCTCTCTCTGGAGTTTAACTGATATCTCATTGCCTCAGTTGAAATGTGAATCGGACTTTTCTGATCCTGCCGATCTGAAGTCATCAGATTTGTGCGACGTGGAGCCGAAAACAAGTTTCTCTCAACACGGAAGTTTCGACCGGAATGAAGTCTCCGTCGACTCATCCCGTTCGGGCTCGATGGCACCTATTCGTGAGTTTCCATAGTTTCTATTCAACAATGAGTCTCTAGAGCACTACCAGGTTCGCATCCGGACTCGGGATATCGACGAGGTCCGCGGGATACTGGAAAGATGTGATCGAAGAAGATTTCCGCGATCAACCCCCTCCCCCAATTCGTACTCGCAGTTCTTTTTGGAGAATTATAGGGTCACCCCTTTGCGAGCTGCTCCACCGGAATAAAAATAAAAAAACTGAATTCCTCCGCAGAGCTCCCGCTGAATGTTATGGTGACTCAATCGCAAGGCCCGCAGCTCTCAATAGATCAAGGATATCTCGCATCGGTCCGAGCTCCGCGGTACTCAACGCTTCTGTCCACGTCCTTGCGAGGCAGCGATGTCGTCCTGAACGATGAATTCGGTTTGGCCGACTTCGATCGCTCCTCTCATCAGGATTCTTCTTTGGCGGGAAAGTTCGAGAGCGGCACGACAGTTCGGACCGTCGGACAGGTTGATCGCAATCCAGAAGATACCTTCGAAACCTGTCCTGGACACCCCGTTACAAAAGACGGGGTGACTGAAAATCTCTTCGCGAGCTATCAGTCGCCGTCGCCGTTGCCACCCTTCGACGCGTTCTACATTTCAAATCCCTACGATTCTTTCCACGGATCCTGAATCTGTCGACTGCCCGGATCGGTAACCAAATTAAGGAAGACTGAATTTCCACGCTTTCGATCTGATTTCGCATCCCTTCCGACGATATTCGTGAAAACGGGTATCGAATGTAAATAGTGTGAAGTATTCTTGCGGCAGCAGAGGTGAGCTCTTGCTCGGATCTAGGGAGACATTGGAGAAGACGTGAACTTTCGCAAAAGGACGAGTTTTTCGCGAAACTTCCGAACCAGGGAACATATACAGTCGATCCGCATGCGCCGCGCCTCCTTCGTGGACGGGAGAGAGTATACAAATGACCATCATGGAACGTCGTATTCACCTCGAATTCTATCATGTACATATCAATACGAGTACGTATTATATTATCCTCATAGTAGGTGCTTGGGGAAAAATCTTTGTAAGAGCTATCCTTCTTTCAATGGAGACCTCTGATTGAGTCAGCGCTAATCAACGAGACGGAATCCTCGTTTCTGTCAATTTTTTCAGGACATAAAAGAAAAATCGGTTGAAGCTCAATGCACCTCTGAAACTGAAGATCTCCCAAAAGAGTAGGCGATAATGAGGTTCCAAGTTTTTATTTCTGTCATTAGTAGGTTGAAACTCTTAGAGGAAAAATATGTTCAATAGATATTAGAGAATCTGCCGGCGCATAATGTATTGCCTGCCGATGTACTCCATGTTGTGTGGGATAGATCCTCAAAAGGTGTCGACGCTGGCAGCACGCCATCACATGAGTACTTCGCAGAACAGACCCGTGGAACAATGGTCCGTTCGAACGAATATGTCGAAACAATTTATTTCCACAATTATTTTGTCTGGAGGCGTCGGTTACAATTGCAAAATGCAAGAGCTAAAAGCGAATATTGTCGAAAAAACTGGAATAACAAGGTGCCCGAAAGCTCTGGCCGAAATTGCATTGAGTGTTTCCTAATCTTTTTTGTTCATAGGGAGCAGTGGTCGTCGTGTATAGCATACGCGGGCTAGACACAGAGACACTTTGAGTATGAATAGATTTCCTCAACGGCTGCAACGATTACGTCTGACCTATCTCCCCGCACCGATGCCGCTTCACACGGCCGCTTCCCCGAGGTGGGTCAGCTGGGGTACTCCTGCGCCCCCTGTTCGGTCGGAGGATGAGTCAAGGCAATATATACAATGATGAACTCATCGCCGGCTAACATTGATGAGGTATTTGCAGCAATGAGTCAGGAGCTGCTTGTCTTTACCGCGCGAGTCGTAATGACCGTTGGACTGTGGCTCGTTGGGGTCCCGGGTGTAGATGTCGAGCCCGTATTGGCCGTCCTCAGGGAAACTAAGGAAGAACGAAACCATATCGCCACTGACTGAATGCGAAACGAATTTCGAGAGCTTCTTCTCATCACAGCCGTTCATGTGAAGAGCGGCTAGGAAGTCCGACAGCGGTCTCGTCATCCGGAACTGGATCTGAAGTTCTCGACCTGTAAAGTGAAAGAATGTCAGCGTCGGGAGCGTTTGGGGAAGTCTTGAGAATCCTTTATTTCTGACTTCAAGTCTCCGATGATAGATTCAGCTCGCGAGAATCACTGATGCTTGATGTCCGAGACTAACCTGCGATGATGAGCGCGTCTTCGTGACTAATGGCGTCGAGACCGAAAAGTCTCAAGGCTTTCTCGGGACCCCATTCCCCACCCGCGCACTCCGGCAGCGGGATCATGACCGTGTGCAAATCTTCACACAGAATCCTGAATTTGGTCACACTCTTGAATTTCATGGGCTCCCCAGTCAGATACTCTTCCGGAGACACCGAGTTGGCAAAAATGTCTAACAAGAACGTTCCGCTGCACGGCGCGTGCACTCTGCAAAGTGGAAATATTCATCAATCGAGTAGCAGCATAAATGAGATGAGGGAGAGAAAGTCTATATCTTTTCCGGAAACAAGAATTCCTATGGATTCCGAGGCAGGATCTTCCAAAAAAAAGCACCGAACCTGAATGCAACAACATTGTCCACGACGGACTGCATGACGAATCGTTTGAGGGAGACGCCATCAAAGTTGTCAATTGCTTGGTCGTTGTGGTCGAAATATTTGAGCGAGTAGTGGAAGATGAGAGAATGCCTTGGTTCGTGAGGCATCCCGATTCTGACTGTGGTTCCTCCTGTATGATCGGTGAAGAGCGTCGCTTTCGTGTCGGGGTCGGGGAAATATAACCCGTACCTGAATTGGGATATTTCCCTTTCATTGAGCATGAATATGGGGAATTCATGGGCCAACTCTGATTAGATGGATCTTTAAAGGAGCTGCCGCATGCGGTGGCTCTCCAACCGCTACCCACCTGAAGAATAACGATCGGACGAAGGGGAGCTCTTCGAAATCTCGCAGAGTGATTGGTTTTTTCAGGAGTTGCCATTCAGGATTTTGAGGGAAGAACTCGTAAATGAACTCTCGAGCATCCGTCAGAAAGTAATGATCGTCATACTCGTACCGTAGCTTATCTGACTCGCTACGTGATCCGTTCCTCGGGACCTGGAAACGGAAGTTATGGAATAAGAGCGAGTTCCTTTCTGGAGAACGTCGAATCCTTCTGCAGAACACATCCGATGGCTGCAATCGGGATTTCTCACCTCTCTAGCGTTCACGAGATGACGAGCACCCCAATTGCACTGCACGAACCGCCAAGCTCCGGCAACATAGACGGCGTTCCAGGAATTTCGGAATCGACTATCATCGAACCTGGGACAATCGGAAAAATGCGAAACCTCTCCTTAGGCACCAGACGACAGTCACAGCTGAGGGAGCTGTAGAACCATACGAAACCTCCCCACAGTGACAACCGTGGGAGGTGCACAAGGTAGTTACCTGATTCCTGGCTGATATCCGGCACTCTTGGAATAGCCCTTGATGACGACGCAGTGGAGCCCTGCGTAACTGCAGAGCCGTTTGAAGAGAACGTGGTAGCTCTCGGTGCCATGCTTGATGCCTCGCAAGATTCCCATCGGAGTGTCGGCGTTGATAGTGTCGTCGAACGTCATCTGGTTCAGGTTCTTCACCGTAATCCAACGGAAAATGGCCCTAAATGTGGAAAGCTTTTCAGAAATCCGGTGGAGCGTAAGGAGCAGCGTCATATTCCATTCCTTCATAAGGTGACCAGAATACAGTCGACCCCTTGTCAAGAAAACGCGTTAGATGGACCGGTGATTCTGCTCTCGCGAGCGCCGCTTGTGAACACGTTCGTCTCAATGCCGGAGCGAACGACGACAGCAACAAGACGACATCCGACACGCGCCGTGACCAAGTTCTCGGCCCAGAAAAAAGCACCAAGCCTCTCTTTTCGCGAGGTAGGTCATCTTATCAGTGAGCGGTGCCTTCGGAAGGGCAGAGCCGAGGATGACTTGAGAAATCAAACGCTCGAATTCCCGCTACAAGAGCCTCGCGCACCTCATGAGGAGGGATAGGCTTCATTCTTTCGTTCCCATGGACTGAATTCTCACGGTCCATGATCAAACGAGCCGTGAAATCCCTTCCGCGAAAAGCTGCGGATGCCGAATCGAAGAATGGATCTAATGAAATGATGAATGACACGGGGGAGCTGAGAACCGCACGTCCGCACGGCCCGGGCGAAACGTGATACTCAACCCTGGCTTATCTAGATATACCATACTGAAGATCTTCCATCGCCGTGTTGATGCTGCTCACCTTGCCTTCTCGACGTCCGTCTCGCAATTGTGCGTAAGTTGTCGGACAAGATCGGTAAAGGTTCTCTGGTCGGCCTGCGCGACGTTTATTGCCTGTTGATCCAATTCTTGGAAAACCGATGGATCGATGTAGATGTCCAACTTCGAAATCGAAGCATAGCCCGGGGTCGGAGGATGTAGGGGATATGAAGAATCGTGAATGTGTCCACCGTCACGCTGCAAAAAAACAGAAACATTTTCAGAGTGGGGCTAGAAATCGAAGGGTCCCCGTGGAGTTTCGAAGTGCGGAGCAAGAAGCGTCGCTGCGAGAAGCATTCTTCTCGACGGACAGATTGCTTGGGTTTCTATCGAACAATTCGACTCGTTTTTCCCTTCGGCTTTCTTTGGTCACCGGCCTGAAAGCACTCCGTGACCGAAGATCGCTTCGCACCATTAGTCACTCAGAGAAAAACGAGGAATTATCGATTTAGCAAGACGCTCTTAATTCGGTGTTTCACTTTTCTATTTTCAGTGCCGTGGAGTTTTACGACGTTTCCTGTTCGGTGACTCCGCGCAAAGAAAACTACAAGGGCAAATACCGAGGAAAATAGCCATGGATCATCAGCACCATTGATCCGATCTTCCGTAGGATGTCAGTATACGCCAAAAGGAAGAGTCTTTGCTCCTGAACCCCTCGTGGTGGGTTTGCTTCACGTGAGGCCGCTTGCTCGAACATCGTCTCCAGCCGGGATCAGCAGAGAACGAGGTCACTTTGTGCAGCGAGATGAACTTGGCGGAACGCGGAACAGCGACGACGGAGAGAGGGAGTCAAATGTCAATCACAGGCTCATTACTCTTTAAGCATTCTATGTTTTCATGATCGAATTTTTCGGGTTTTTCGCCGAGCCGTCAGAAATCGCTGCGGTTTCATGAGCGCGATCATTGGGTAATGCAAATGACGGAGCATGTCGGATGACCGCCGAGCAGACATCCCGCTTTTTCCATCATTGGACGATTATCTCTGGATATCCTCCTGTTGGTAATTCAGGATTTCGAAGCGATATCAGCCGACAAAATCGGGCCATCAATTCAATCAAGCTGCGGCTCCAGAACTCGCGATCTTCCTCTTGATGGCGGAGTGAACACATTTCAGGAACTCCTCGCGATTCTCCTGATTCGGCCACATCTTTCCCAAAGGATGTTCCTCGAGCCACGGAAGATCCAAATTGAGCTGAGTTCGTAGCCCCAGCTCGCTCGAGAGCTTCGCTGTTGGGGAGAAGATGTAAAAGGCGCTGAGCACCGGGAAGTTCGAAGGATATGGCCCTTCGAATTTCGGCGGTGCACAGGTCACTTCCGAATGGATGGCCAGGGACTCCCAACTTGGGGGATAATTTCAAAAGGAACAAGTTGCCGCACTTAATTCCGAAACGAGTGACGTTTCGGCTCAGCGACGATACTCAAACGGCCCACTTTTGTCGACCCCCACCGAAAAATGTCTAAACCACTGAACCACTGGCATGGCTCATATTGTATTCGACTGCCCTCATTCAGTTACCGGGGAAATGAACGATTTTGAAAGCGACGTCAGCCTGTCGACAACCTTTGGAGGGAAAGACAGGGAGTCGTAGCGAATCCGAAACTCGATCTCAGGCCTCTATGCGAGCCCACACGTTTCGTAGGTAGAGAATGGAGTCTCCGAGGAACGCCTCGGGGAGGCCCGTCGTGATATTGGCGCGTAAGCCGCAATACGGCCTTAAACTCGGAAGGGAAGAGTCTTTGAAGGCGTTGAGGATGATGAATCGATTCAGGAATGTCTTGGTCATCCAATTTGATCGATCAGGAGAGACTAACGACAGGATTCGCGGCGAAAGGGATTATCGCTCCCGTTAGCTATTACCTGGACGATTTCTTCACGCTTTTCGTTGATCAGGTTAAGCATTTCCTCAGCATGCTTCTCCACGAGATCCGCGGTTGCGGCTCTTTCGGCTTCCATGAGTTTGCGGGTCAGCGCTTCTTTCCTCCTGTGAAAGAATGAGAGAGTTTGATTCTAAGGTCCGAATCTCTCCCCGGGTCCCCTAGCACCCTCGGCAGCGTTGCTCTCCAAATTGCACTTTAAGAGTCATCCGAAAATATACCGAACACGTTCGCCGCTGCAGCGGGACACAGACGAAACAGGGTATGAGGAATGAATACAAAGAGCTCGAGAAGATAGAGCGCAATCCCCTACGCGAGAAATATTAACGACACATTCGCGCCAGAGGTATCACGCGATTCCACTCGTTCACGTGATGAAGCGTTTCGCCCTGCACCTTCTGTAGGGAACGGAACGGGGTGATCCTCTGTGCGACATTAAAACTCAACGGAATTTTATCATCAGGGATTCGCATTCGAAAGTCGTCAGACGCTAGGGCCGCACACGGACGTTCAATTCAAAGTTCAACGTTTTATTTATTTTTTCCGCTTTAAGACAGTATCGCGGCCGATACAGGTTATCGATCCGCTCGATCCCGACAGTAGCGCGACATCGCAAGCTGGTGAAAATCCACCGGTTTCAAAGCGTTATCGTTTTCTCACTGAATGACGAGCCTCCATATCGGGGTTTCTCGGTAGCGCGTTCCTTTGTGAGCTCAAGAGCCGGGATCGATTCTCTTGGATCCTCCTCCAGCTAGGGTTGAAACCCAGTTCGGAACACCCGACAGAGAGAACGCTTCGACCGCCATACGTACGTCGTTACATGCTGAAGCTGACTGAAGGAATAGGCCGAAGAAGCCGACGCGTCGAGATACTCAAAATCATCACGAGCCGTCGTTATGAAGGAAGGATACCGCTGCCGGAACCAACCGAGAGCGGTCACCGGCTCGTGAGTTTGGGGCAAGAAAATTTCGAGCATCCCGGCGGTGATTCCACAGCTCAGATCACGAAAGTTTCCAATTCCGAAGCAACGCCACTTAAACGGTCCGAACTGCGGAGACGACACCGCTGAGTCTCTCGATGATTTTGCGGCTCTTCGTTCAGCACAGGGCACTAATCTACACGAGACAAATGGGGGTTTCCCACCGGGAACTCTGCGTTTCCCTGATCCTATATCCGCGGGATCATACGCTGCTCGGGCTTCGGGCTCTCACGAGTTCTCAGTCCACGAGTGCTTTTGTCCAAATAGATCTCCGCCCATGCAGACTAGAAAGACGTCCGCACGCTCGTGCACCGAGCTGACGACTGGCGCACAGATCGTTGCGGAGCGTCGGTTTCCGAAGACGCCAGAAATCAATAGCGTGTGTCTAGCGGAGTCATTCAACTCGAAATGTCAAGTCGATCCAGGAGTCATCGGATCGCAGTCAGAGCATCAGTCAGAAGTCTCTGTGAGAGGGACTCGGCGTGAGGCTCGTCCCACGCTCGGAAAGAAAGACAACTATCGAAGACATCCTGTCCCGAGAATTCGGCAGCTAACAGCCTTTGCAAGGCGGCCGTTGCAAGAGCCACGCCCCGTCGGCACCTGTTTCACTCACAGCCCTGGTAATTCGATATGAAAAAAAATCTTGAAGGGACAGTGAGGGAGTGGACGACACGCAGACGGGACAAGTGCGTTAGAAAAATTCGGAGGGCTCGAAGGGTTCGTCCGCCAAGCCCAGGGCGAAAGTTCAAAGCTCATCACGACGAACGAAGTCTCCTGATTGGCTGGACAGCGTGTCTATCCCCCGTTCATCAAAAACTCGTTTTTGCTGGTACGTCTTGTCGTATCCCCTCTTGGCAAGACCGAACTCATAACCGCAAATGGAATTCCTGAACGACGCAAAGTCAAGCCCATACGTACAATCATTGGACCTATTCCGTCATGTCCCGCTTCTGATCCGCAAGAGTCGGACGGGTCTTCTGCGCACGTTTATCCATCGAACCTCTACCAAAACATCTGGTCGAAGATCGGAACCGGACTCAAAACTCCCCATAACCTTCTTCCGTCGCGGGGCCTGGGGCTTGGTCTCCATTCGGTATTGAGCATCCTCCGACGAATTGAGTCTCGAATTTGTGCCCTCCTGCTTGATGTATGACCGAGAGGACCACGATACGGATGCCTCCGGATCGAGACACTCGGCCGGAAAGGGAGCAGGGATCTTGAGCATCAAAGTTTCGGAAACGAGACTTTCGGCTCGACAAACACCCAGACGGACGAACATTTGGACTCCGACCAGAAACCTTGTGGCGTTGTGCTTGTCGGCTCTGATTTCCCATGACGGCTTCGGAACGAATATAGTAAATCGAATCGCGCGTACAAAGGTTGTTTTTGTGAACTCGTGTCGCTGTCCTATCACTAGATGTCCCTTTCCACTTCTTTCTTTCGAATCCCGTTCGCCGAATCTAAAGTCGAAGGGCCCGTCGGTGAGTCGCCGAATATCCCTAATGTCTTGAGATGTTCTCCATAGCTCGAGCGAGACCTCGGAAGTTTCGAGAAGTTGGCATCAGCAAGAGCTCGATATTCCATGAAGGGAATTCTCTACAGGATCTCCGGTGGGGGGAAGAGGCGTACGAGGGGTGGCGAACCGAAGAAGGCTGCGAGTCTCCCTTCTCGTCTCCTCTTCAGCTCCTAATCCCATCGGGACCAACCCAGATTTCGATTGATCCTGATACATATTCGAAAATTCTCAACGATGATCTCCCAAATCGTTCGAAACTCTTATAATGTCTCTTCATTGTACGACTTCGTCACGCGCACAGATGATGAGAGAATTCCAGAGCGATGATCTCTCAATTCAATAAAAGCCCTGCCATTGTGAACCAGCGCGCGTCGTATCTGATTGGTGTAACAAATGCAGCAATGAATGTGTCATACCAACAATGGAAAAAGCAGCAGAGAGCATTGGAAGCAAGCCGTAATATCCGCCCACTAGTCTCCGTGGTGGCGACGACGGCGTCCATGTAGTCAGACAGCCGCTCAGTTCGTCGACGCGAAGCTCATGAGCTTCATCTCTTCAAAGCAGCAATAGCGGCGGGCGGCATTGTCTTCGTTGTGTCCAGATTGCTTTGACACGACCGGGCAGCTGGCGAAGTGGCAACAGAAACCTCGCCGTTCCAGATTATTTGCTCCGAGTAATTAGAGCTTGACAAGAGAATTTCGAATGGAGCTGCGAGCAAGTCGGCCTCACCCGAGCTGCATCAATGCGGATATTAACAGCACGTGATCATCAAACGGATCGCGGGAATAGCTTCATTCTCACCGCACTTCTGCCCCATAAAATGTAAATTTCAAAAATGAATAGCTGTCGGTCGCCGAAGTACAATATTTTCCCGAGGCCGCCGCGAGGATACTGTTGGTGCGGCGTCGGATGATAAAGCGACTCTTTTTGACCTCGAGCGATAGATTCGGTCCCTCAGTATCCGACTGCCATAGCTCTGTGCTCCAATGCCCTTAATCTCCGATGGAGCTCGCGCCCACACTAAAAGTTCTCGTGCTTTCATGTCATTCCGACTGGAGACGTGTGCTAAGCGGACCGGAAGATTTTCTCGTTTCGTTCATACGATGGGCCATCGTAACCTCACTTGTGCCAAGACGCCGTTTGTAACCGATGAACGGGTCTTCTTCTAGGAAGTTGAACTTCAAAGGAACCTTTTCAGAACGATACGCGGGGAATGTTGAACAACGCTCGATGGCTCAAAACTTCCCGGAGTGGTCTTACCTGTCCAGTTTGACAGTCATGTTTTTCTCAAGGTCGTCTTTGTCCTTTTGGTGTCTCATGGTCATTGCACGCTCTTCGTCTGGAGTGACGGCGAAGTTGTTTCGCTTGCGTCGAATTTCTTGGTGATAGCGAGATGTTAATTTCTCAAGCTCTTTCTCCCACTCTTCCTGTAAGGGCGATTTACTCTTAGACAGTCAACTTTACTCTTCCACTGGCGAGCGAGGCTGGCGGTCCCCGCCGCTGACAGCCTGCGCGGATTTCATTTGAAAAGGACTCTTGACCGACTATATGGAACAATGAACGGACAATGCAGCCGTTATCAAAATGGAAGCGTGTCCCTAAGAATTTTAATTTCTAGGCCGACGGACTCACCCTGATCTGATGCTGCATGACAGTCTCTTCTTCTACTCTTTTCTTGGCAAATTGTCTGTACAAATCATCCTCCTCCATTCTGTGCCGCATCTCCAAGGTCCGCTGGGTTTCGGCATCCTGAAATCGAATGAATATTCAGAATGAATGCAGCACACAACTCATGACAGAATGACTCTATTCCTGGCACAACATTCCTACATGAGATTTGATGGAGTGCATTCGATTAGGCACGTTTTCTGGTCCAGGCCGCCGCAAGACAAATTTCGAAAAAATTATGAGTCTTCATCCCAAGTTATCCGTCTTCCCGCCCGTCGTGCTAACCCTCCGCTTCGGGCCTTCATTTCAAGAATCAACCACTCCCTTGCAGCGCTGATTCTTCCTCAGGGAGCAGGTGTTCCCTATGTGCCCGAGGGAGTGAGCGACCGACCCCTACGCGAAAGAGCTCGAAATTCCATGGGGGTTCTCTGGTTTTCGGTTTTTCTGCTCGTCTCGAGGGAGAAGCATGAAAGTAGTTCTGCGTTGAAATCCATCACGTTGAAATAGAAACGTCCAATCCCGAGGGCGTGCCCGCGCGTCGTCCGTCTCAGTTTGTTCAACTTTTTCCCATCGACTTCCTGCCCTGGTGTGGCTGAATCAAGATCGTTTTGCGGCCGTTTTCAGCCGCGGAGAGATTCGACTTCACGAAACCTCTTCTTGAAGCGCGCTCGATTTCATCCTATTTGTTCGGGTTCAGAGTCGAAATATTCGGTTTTGCTCTCCAAAATCAAGATACCTAATTCCCATTCTGATGCTCTGGCTGGACAGATATGGATGCGAAAAATAATTTATGAATTTCTTGGAGGCGAGAGCCTAATCGGCGCAAAAGGATGGCGATGTATATTTGCGTTCGTGTCTCGATGCTTAGCTTCCTTACAGGTATCGAGGACCCCGACGCGATGCTCGTGTCACGTCAACTATTGTCGCGGGGATAAATCGGCATCAGAAGCTCCGACAAGCTTCTAAGATCGCCCACAGCGTCGCTGAAGATCCCCCGCGCTGACAGCGATCGCGAAGCTTCCATTCAGCTTCGAAGAAGTCGATATAGAGCTCAAAGATAGTGCTGGTGAACTTGGCCTGAGTGGCTGACCGTGCGAAGGTGGCAAGCGACTCGTGAAAGATTTGATCTGTACTTCATCTTGCCCAGACGGAAGAATTTCGAGGAATTCCCTCTATGAAATCGACGAATGCGTACAACCAAAGAATACCTGTCGTTCGCGCGATACGGGATCCACGAGAATGCTGGCTCAGGGTCGACTAGCTTCGATGAAGTTTGAACGGGCCCACGAGTGAAATGTAAACATTCCAAAATTCCTACGATGAAGAAGCTGCGGGTTGGCGATCCCGCGGAGACAGACACGGCGCATCAGTCGGCGCGCACACATCTTCATGCAAAGTTTGCCACCCGTTGGGAATTAATTCCATAAACAAGCATTTCTCATCCGTTCTCGACCAGGGGAAATTGCAAAGCAACTGTAAACAGGCTTTTCCCTGCGCCTTCTTCTCATGCCTCCCAGGGGATATTCGGGGCAACGATTTTTATCACTGCCTGAGGAAATAATTATCGAATTTTCCATGTCATGGCGGATAATGCCCGGAACGCGAGCCAATCCCATCCAATTGGTCGACAAAGATTATTCTGGTCCGCTCATATGGAGTTACTGGCTTCAACGATGCGGCAAATGAAATTGTGGCGACGAGCAACGAGCCAACCAAGCAAGCGCCATGTACTTGCGGGCCTGCACACGACATGGGGTCACAGCCAGGGTCAACGGGTCGAACAAACGGATAGAAATCTTCGAACGAGCTCGGTCGGTAAGAGATCGGTAACTTCTCAAGTCATCAGCCAGGCGAACGCTTGCCGCCTCGTGCAGTTGCTGCTGCTTGTGCTGTCAGTTTGTCGAGCTTGCAAAAGGGCATCGCAGCAGCTCGTTGATGCTTGGTGACTCCTTACGTCACGGATGTCCACCTTCCATCTATCGGTCCAGCCGCTGTCGGTGCACGTATAAATCAGCGAACGCCACTTCCAACGATTCAGACCGGCTGGTCATTCCGGCGGAATTCCTTGGGGCCCGCGGGACGTCAGGCGGTCGTCGACGAACAAACGGACGGTTTGCCGAGCAAGTCAACCCTTCATTATGGTAACGGTGCCCGACTTAGCGGCACTTTCGGCCGCTCTGCTCTTTAGAAGTCGAGAGGATCGGCATACGTTCTCATACGAATGTGACTTTACACGGCGCGATAACGCGGACACATCTAGTGAGCAGGAGGATCCTTCCTGTTGGAAGAGATGCGAACGAGGGAAAATAGACATTCGAGAGCATGTTCTCTAATGAATTACGATGATCGGAATGTGCTCTAGGGGCTTTCCGATATACTTGTTTGCTCGGTCTCCGACGGATTATTCCTTGGAAATCAACGGAGTCTCGTGAGGCTTCAAATAAAGCGCCACGCTGCAATTTCCTTCAATAATTATTGTGCTTCCGGGGCAGAGGAATTGAAGTCTGTTTGGAAATGAAGACTCGTTGCACTTATCCTCCGACAATAACATTCCCCGCTCGTAGCTCTACGTAATATAGAAGAACGTTACACCCACTCGATGCAGATCCGTATCCGGCGCTAACTGCGCGTTTTCCCTTCTCCTGAACGGTCGCTTGGACGACAACCATTACGGAAGTGTCATTATGTGGACTCGTGGAACGATTAATCGCATCCAAGCTTCACTTTCACGTCAATTGAAGAACAGCGAGCAATGATTGGGAACGCTGCGGATTGTCCGTGTGGGCTCCGTCGATCCTACGAGTTCGACAATGCAATCGTGCTCCACAGTCTGCTTCGGATCTCTCCGACTCGAGAATCGCTCCCCAGCGATTCTCGAGCATCTCTCTGTGCAAAGTTCTTCTAATCACCGCGAATTCCGTTTCGCCGTGAACATGTTGACTACATCATGTAGTCGACAAGGAGTCGATAATTAGCTACTTCAGGAAGTCACAATGGTTCCCACACGACATTCTACGGTGAGCGGATCGTCGCCAGTCTACTTACGAGCGCTAAGGGTCCCATTTTCGTGGCGAAACTGACCACCTCACGTTCGATCTTCACTTTCGGAGGCTGACCGTGACGGTCCATTGTGGAGTAAACCGAATAGTGGGGCACTGGTTGGATAACAGGCGGCTCGGGCGACCTATGGCCATTGCTATTCGAGTGGCCATTGCTTTTCGAATGCGTTCGACGAACGCTATCTTTGAAGAAACGTTTCAGCATGCTGTACGTTGTCGGCTGCTTGTGATTGAGCGTGCGACAGGAATGCGAAGCGGCGCAGAGATGAATCCGACGAATACGCCAAATACGACGAAGACGCCAGACAATCACCGAGTGGGCTCAACTCAAGGTCCTCGTTGCGTCGCAAGAAGAGTTGCTTCTCAGAGGGAAAGAGAGAGACGTAAGTCGAAGCAGTTGGAATCTCGAGTGGGCGGCTCATAAACAGAGGGTGCAGTGGTGACTGAAGTGACAATTCGATTACCAGCTAATTATTATTCACCAATCGATCGCACCCGTCTAGCGCAGTTCATGGGGACCGCAAGCGGTGGACCCGCCATTGTGATCCCATCGCTCTCCATAGCTATCTGCCCGACGACTCCCGTTTTGCCCGAGAATTATCTTCCGTGGGCCAATCTTCCCGGCGCAGTTTTTCTCTGTCAGCCCGGAGAGTCTGCGTACGCTTGAAAAACAGAATCAACTCGCAGGCAGTCGGGACTCGCGCTTCAAGCTCCTTAACGAGAAACTTAAGGCATCCAACACAATCCATAGAAGCTCACCGGTCGAGGTCGACCAGTAGATGGATCAGTGGAATACGCAGTCGAGAATCCCTCACACTAGGCCACATGTAGAAATGAGCGACCGCTTGTAAGCCGCTCGGTCGGTCCATCGATCGATCGATCGATCGATCGGACCGCCAGATTTCGTCATGAACATCTAACGAGACTGACGCGTTTTCAGCATCTTCGATTATATGTTTCCCATCGAAAGCTCGCCATCGATTAGACTGATTAATCTTTCGGGCATTTTCTCCCGCCTCACATCGGAGCTGACCCTGCAATTGTACCTGAAGAGTTCGCTTTGAGCCGCTCACATATTTATTGATGATATGGCAACAAGGATCCCGACAACCAACACACCGAAGGAACCGCGCTGGGATGAGCGCGCATTAATTAAGGGAGTTTCGTAAAACAAAGGCGGCTGGACGAATGTTCTGTGCACATCCGCGCCGGCACCGCCTGGGCTTTTATCCCCGCCGGAAAACAGCGGAAGACGCCGCTTCTCATTCCTTGTCGAATTGATTTTTCCTCCTGTTCTATGAAAAGTCCCGTAAAATCGATTTGCGGTTGAAGAGGGGAACGGAAACAACAGGGGAAATTGTCCCAGACCTACAACAAGGTACGGAGTAGCGGATCCGGAGACGCAAAGGCTCGAATCTACGTTTGTGGCAATATCCCGTACTTTTACCGCTCAGGGAAGGGGCAGGGAAGAAGCCGCTGACGGAAAAATCGAAGAGTGCCTTTCTAAATGAGTCTGAGCACCGTTTCGACGTGCCGTAGTTGCTACATTCGAGCCCCACCCATTCACTGTGCAGTCTGCTACGCTGCCGTATAGGTGAGAATACGTGACCATCGTTGCCGTAGGAGTTCGCTCATTTTAATTCTCGTGTGATGTACTCCTGGCGACTCGATCGAAAAAAAAATCGGAGCTGGGTCCACGAGCTCAGACCTTTCGTCTTTCCACGGATAATTCGTCAACGACGGTTCTCCAGAAAGGCAGACCATGACGATGAGCTGTCTCGAGTTTTTTGGTCTGCTTTGTGAAGTTCCCCAATTTATCTTCTTCTAGCTACTTGTTTCGACATCAGTTAACTCGATAATGTGGTAAGACATCGGATGAGAGGCTTTTGTGTCGAACTCTACGCTTGGGACCTATTTCGGCTCCTTCTACGCCCCAAGTCGCATATTTTTGAAGACTTGTGTTGACGAGTCTTTTTCGGGACATGTTCGATGGAACGACATAGAAAGATCAGGACTGCTGAG